CTCCTGCAACCTTTTCAAGCCTCTGAAAACCACCATTCTCCTCGCAACATTTCATAAGATGAATTAATTTACATTCCATAAGTGACTGAATTCATGTCATGCTTCTTTTTCTGTGCTTGGATTATTCCACTCAGTATAATCATGTCCAGGTCAATACACGTTGACAGAAATGACAGGAACTCATTCTTTATTATGGGTAGGTAATATTCCTTTGTATGTACTCACTAAACAGACTTTATCCATCTGTCAGCTGATGAACCTTGTTTTTTTTCTCCATTTTTGAGTGTATGCATAGTGTTAACAATGAAACTGCAGTTGTCACCTCACCATCTGATGACATTTCCTTTGGGTACTACTACAATTGTATGTAGAAGGAATTTCTGTCCCACCTGGTCCCATAGCCTTTTAGCCCCCAAATAAACACACAGAGGCTTATATTAATTATAAACCGTTTAGTGGGTGGCTCAAGATTCTTTTTGGCTATCTCTCTCTTAGTTATTAACCCATATCTATTAATCTATGTATTTTCACATGGTCTTGAGCTTACCAGTGATGCCTGGAACCCTTTCTTCCTTGGCAGCTACATGGCATCTCTGTGGCAGCTCCTCTCTGCCTCCTCTCCCTAGCCTTCTCCTCATCTGGTACCTCCACCTGTACCTCCTGCCTGGCTACTGGACACTCAGTGTTTTAATTCATCAATCAATAAGAGAAACATATTTACATAAGGACATCCTCCATCAATAGTAGAGGTGGTGAATGCTATATTTTAAATTTTCAGGAATTATCACTTACCATAATAGCTGTGCTCATGTTATTGCTAGCATACTTGCTGCATAAGCTTGCCCAATATACCAAGCATGTTCCAGATACCCTTTACTTCATACCCTCATCAGCATTTGCTAAGTTGATCATTTTGACAATAACCATCTTAGGGAATGAGGTGACCTGTCTTCTTGGCTTTGACTTATATTCTTCCTAGGATTGATGCTACTGAGCTTATTCTCCAGGTAATGGTTATTGTTTGAGACATCTCTGCTTAGATTTGTTGCCCATCTTTAAATTGGTTATTACATTCTCTTGCTGGTGACTTTACTGAGTTCTGAATACACTCTGGGTGTCCAGCCTCCTGTCAGTGGAAATTTGTAAATCTTTTGTTTTTCTATTCTGTATATTGTGATTCAGAAGTTTTCAATATGAAATATATATATATATATATATATTCTTTCTTTTTTATATTTATTCATTTTGCAGTCAAATCTGAAAACGTGTTACCATCCCAAGGCTCTGAAACATTTCACTATTGTTCTTCTATGAGGCTCATTGTATTAGACCTTATATTTATTCATATATTTCTTAATACTACATTTTCTGTGAAAGGATTTAGTGGGGTTTATTTAAAACACATAAAACAGAACTAGGGAGTGGAAATCCCAACACAGAAGTATGTGTTGGATAAACACAAGGACTTGAGTTCAACTTCTGGAGTCCGCATAAATGTCAGATGTGATGGTGTGAATGATAACATGGGCTCAGATCTGGAGAGACAGAGACAGATAAGTCTCTCATACCCTCTAGATAGCCAGCCTTGACTACTGAGTGACCACCAGGCTAGTGAGAGATCCTCTCTCAAAAACCAAGATGGACAACACTTTTTTGTTTTTTGGTTTTTCATGACAGAGTTTCTCTGTGGCTTTGGAGGCTGTTGTCCTGGAACTAGCTCTTGTAGACCAGGCTGGTCTCAAACTCACAGAGATCCTCTGCTCTGCCTCCCAAGTGCTGGGATTAAAGGCGTGCCTCACCAACGCCTGGCCGATGGATAACACCTAAAGGTGTCTAAGGTTGACCTCTGGCCTCTGAGTGCACACGTATCTAAACACATACACATGAGCATGAGCTAAGCAAGGCTGCTAACATTTAAATCAAGACAAATTAAGGAAAGAAAACTGATAGCAAAACAGTAAGCAAAATATGTGGCAAAAATAACTCTGTGGACATGCCCACCTGAAGCTGGCCACAAATGAAGTTAACATTTTCTAGAAGCTATAGTGGGACATTTTAATCAGTTACACAGCACAAGCTTCTGATGATGGATAATGAAAAGGATAAGCAGAGTTGGTATTTGGATCCTATGGCGTTTTGCTCTAGAGTGTATTATAAAAACATCAGTGTGTTCCAGGAGCAGTTTAAAATGGATGGCCATCATTTATAGACTATCAAGTGTGTGGAGTGAAGGCTTTAATGTTCCACTCATTGAAACTGAACATAGATCATAGCCTGATTGCTGGAACACTTTAACGTCATGACACGAAACTTGAAAGGAAAAGTGGCATTGGAGGGGTGGGAGGAATTGGAGGGGAGGAAATGTGGAGTGGATTTAAGCAAAACATTTTATATGTATGTATGAAATTCTCAGACAATAAAATTTAAAACAAAGTCCTATGGGAAACAAAATACAAACGTGACCAAGGATTTCCTCTATCTTTCTAACCCAATAGGATTGCAAATTAGAATAATTAGAGGCAGAAATGAAGTAAAGAATCTATTCATCAAAACGTTGGAGAATGGGGCTGGAGAGATGGCTCAGAGGTTAAGAGCACTGACTGCTCTTCTAGAGGTCCTGAGTTCAATTCCCAGCAACCACATGATGGCTCACAACACCTTGAATGAGATCTGGTGTCCTTTGCTGGCATGCAGGCACAAGACTCTATACATAATAAATAAATAAAATCTTAAAAAAAGTGGTAAAAATTAAAATATAAAATAATCGTTGAAGAATGAACCCCTGGCACTTTTTCAGGGACAGAATACTATGAATTAAAATGGATGAGTATCTTTACATGTAATTAATGAGTTTTTTATAGTCCACTGAGTTTGATTTCCTTTTTTTTTTTTAAATTCCTCTTCTCTCATACAATACATCTTGCTTTTCCCTTCTTCCACTCCTTCCAGTTCCCTTTCCGTCTCCCCAAGATCTACTCCATCTCTATTCCCCTTCAGCATTCCAGTGATATCAACTGACTAAGGCATGGCAATAAGACTAAGCATAAATCCTCATATCAAGCCTGGACAAGGCAACCCAGTAGGAGGAAAAGGGTCCCAAGAACAGGAAAAAGAATCAGAGATGCCCCAACTTCCACTGTTAGGAGTCCTACAAAAACACAAGACAAATAACCATAACATATTCAGAGGACCTAGGGCAGACCCAGGCAGACTCTGTGGTTAGTCTTAGTTCCCCTGATGTCCTCAACCCCTCTGGCTCCTACAATTAGTCCGCTCACTCTTCTATGGGGTTCCTGGTGCTCCAAGGGAAGGACCTGACAGAGATCTCCAATTTGGACTCACTCTCCACCTAATGTTTGGCTCTCTGTTTCTGCTGTCATCACCTGCTGGAGGAAGCCTCTTTGATGTTGATTATGCTAGACACCAATCTATGAGTATAGTAGAATACCATTAGGAATCATTTTATTGATATCATCTCTGGGCTATCTAGTCTCTGGTTGGTTCCTGGTCATTCAGGAAGTGTGGAACATGGGCTTCCTCTTTTATTGTGTGTGCCTCAAGTTAGACCAGTCATTGGTTGGCCACTCCCACAAATTATTCCACTGCCCCAGCACATCTTGCAGGCAGGATAGATTGTAGGGCAAAGGTTTTGTGGCTGTGTTGATGTTCCAGTATCACAACTGGTCATTGCCTGATTACAGAAGATGGTCACTTCAGAGTGGGTATCCTTATGTTACTATGAGTCCTCAATAGGAACACCCTTTAATCTACTTTGAAAGAGTGTTTTCAGTCCTGCTATATTGTTAGAAAAATGGATACTTATTTGCCTTTAAAAAGACAGTCTTATTTTGACTATAAGTTTTTCAGTGTTCACTCTACCAAATTTTTAAATATACACAGAACATAACAGACACCCAAGATTCTAGGTAGGCCCTATAGATCACAATGCTACTCACCTTTTAAAGATATATTTTATGTATGTGTTAGTGGCAGCATGTATGTAAATGTGTCACATGTATGCCTAGTACTGGTAGAATCTAGAAGATAATATTAGATCCTCTGAGGCTGGACTTATAAATGGTTGTGAGCTCTTATGTGTGTTTTGGGAACTGAACCTGGTTCTTCTGCAGAAATAGCAGTGCTGTTAACTGCCATAGCTCTAGTCCCATTGTTATTCATCCTGTCCAAATGTTTAAATGTTGTTTTGAAAAAAATCTATATTCTTCTCCTATTAATTTAATCATTATATTGTGAATATTTTATGCTATTAAATATTTATGCCTACAATTATACCACTCTCAATGACAACTTATTATTCTATTAAATAAATATATATTTACTTATTTAAGCATTTGACAATTTTTTATTGTTTCACATGTAACGATGATGATGACATCAGTTAATTCTTAACAAAAATCTGTAACTATTTGCCCTTAGACCCACAGATAAGTGTAGTTTTCACCCTTCATTAAGGAAACTTCTCTTTGAAACAGATGGAGACCACTACAGAAAACCACAACCAAGCCAAATACAGAGTTGTGGAGCCCAGGTCAATGGGTACATCTACAAATCAACCCCTAACTTCAGGCTCAGTTCTGAATATTTTGGGGTATAACTTGTCTGAATGCTTTATTATTCTCTTACAGTACATTTCTGATGGTTAAACTGCTAGATATATATAAAAGCAGATGTATTTTTAAATATTCTAAATATATTTTCAGATTTCATCTAAAAAAGATATGGCACATTATTCTTTTTTGCAAGTTATGTTGATCTGGGCAGTGGTGGTACAAGTCTTTAATCCCAGCACTTAGAGGCAGAAGCAAGCAGATCTTTGTGAGTTCAAGGCCAGCCTGGTCCACAGAGTCAGTTCCAGGACATCCAGGGCTACATAGAGAGGCCCTGTCTCAAAAAACCAAAAGATAATTGCTTTGTGCAGTAGTGGCATACACCTTTAATCCCAGAACTCCAGAGGCAGAGGTAGGTGGATCTTTGTGAGTTAGGGTCCAGCCTGGTTTACAGATCGAGTTCCAGGACAGACTCCAAAGCTGCAGAGAATCCCTGTAGTGAAAATCCAAAACAAAAAAAAATCATTAAAAAAACTAAAAGGAAGGAAGGAAGGAAGTTATGTTGAAAATAGGTGTTTTCAAATATATTCTGATCATGATTTCCCCTCCTCAACCCTTCCTGGATCCTCTCATGTTCCTACCCACCCAAATAAACAGCTTTCCTTTGGCTGAATTTTCCTTCATAGACACCTATTTTCCATCTGTTCATAAGCAGTTGTTTATATATGTCAGTAAAAACTCAGTATGGGATTTAGATTCTAGTTTGTTGAATTAGTTTGCATGTTTGGCATGTGATGGGGACCAGCGCTCTTGGGCATTGTACTCGACACTTCTGAGATGATAAAGACAGATCCAGATAAAGAAAAACCTCTAAAGGTTTACACTGCATTAAAAAATATATGTAGGCTTATGAGAGAAAAAGTAACAGGAGAAAATAGAGTAGCCGGTTATGGCAACGCTGGTAGGATTTGCTAACGGAAGCAAAGGCAGGTGGATTTCCACAGAGAAACCCTGTCTCAAAAAAAAAAAAAAGAAACAAAAGGAAGTAAAAGTAGAATAGTAAAAAAAGCCACCTAGAGATAAAAAATACACAGAAAATCTAGATACTAATATTGTTGTCTTTAAATTGTTTGATTGCCGAGGAAAAACTTATTGCTGCTAAAATACATTTGATTATAAATACTGCTAAATTAATCCAACTTACACATTTTAAAAGTACTTTGACTTCAGAATTTAAGTCTAAGGACAGGCAACTTAGAAATAAAAGTTTTGCTTTTATTTCCACAAAAAATAAAAAGCTGTGGATTCCTTCCAGACTAATATGGTTTGATCAAGCAAGACCCCCTGAAGCTGAGAGGACACAGCCTTACAGACTACAAAAACAAGGACTTGGTCAGGTTTCTATGTTTTATCATGATCCTAATGGTATGAACATCGCCCCCAATCAGCAGGAAGCAGCTTGGAAAGAACGACGCCCATATTCCCAACTATTGTTTATAAATGTTTGTTTTCATTTAAGTGGGTTAGTTATAAATGATAATGAGCATAGTCAATCTCTTTTTAAAGAAAAGGGGAATAGGATATCGGAATGAATACTTTGCATTGGTATATATTTTCATTTATTGATACAACTTTAAGGTCAATTTTGTGATATGTATATGTCTCCTCTTATTTAGAAGCCATTTGGGCAAGAAACTGCTATTGCCTGAACTGTTTGTTGCTGTATAAACTGGACATGCAGGACCCACAAGAAAGTGACTGCTGAACTTACAAAACAAGACAATACTGAAGGGTTCCTGTTGAAATGGAGAAGTGTGCCAGACAAACTGTGGCTTATGGGCTGAAGATGGATGCTCCAACAATGCAGAGGTACTTTGGGTGACTGTCCAGGTGGCAGATATCCTGTCAATTCTAGAGTTTATATATTTTCCTTCTGTGGTCTTTGATAGAGTTGAAGACAGATAGTTAAGGTTATAGTTTTCTTCGGTTATTATAAAAGATAAGTTATCCTTTAATTTAGACAGAAAAGAGGAGATGATGGGGAATGTACTGTGTATGTTTATCTTATTGATTATTGAATAAAATTCTGTTTGTTTTTTGTTTTTTTTTTTTTTTTTTTTGTTTTTAAAAGGATTCTGGGAAATGTAGTAGAGAAGTGATGTTCCAGGCAGGAAGTGACATAGCAAGGAAACTCATATATAGTGAGGAAACAGGAATTGGCCCCCTTTCCCCTCCACTCTTGTTCCAGTGGCAGGATGTGATCCACCGGCAAGGGAGGACGCCAACAAGATATCCGATAAGATAAGTCTTATAAAATATATAGGTTTATGATAATTAAGACTGAGCTAACAGATGAGAATCCTAGTCATTGGCCAAGCAGCATTGTACCTAATACAAGTTTCTGTGTATTCATTTGGGCCTAACTCAGGTGGGTGGCTGATGTAAAGCTCACACATGGTGGTGGGGCTCAGGCGGCTTTTGGCAGAAAGATTTATCGAAACAGGTGTGCTCAACGTGTTTACAAAACATGATGCTTGGTATGTTCAACATGTTTACAAAACATGAAAATATCCCTGTGAGTGTGCATACTGAGTAATTTGTAGAACTTCTCATGAAGTCCTTCAGCACTCTCATTCGGTGGAATTTTGGGTGAGATTCTGCCCAGTGACTTTTCCACTGTCTCCTCTCTTACTATATTCCCTGTCACTGTTTTCTGAGTTTTTAAAATGGGATTTTGTAATAACCAAGAGATGTCTGTCACTGTTGAGTATCTGTAATTCGATTGGTGGACTGAAGCAATTTATATCAAGTAATGGGTTCTTTTATTTCTTTGAGATTTTCATATATGCATACTATATTTACTTCATTTTCACATCCACCCTCTCCAGCTCCTCCTGTGTCTTTCCACTCTCAAGTTCACCACCTCGTCTTCTTTAATTATCCTTGAGATAGATCTATCATCTGTCTATCTATCTATCTATCTATCTATCTATCTATCTATCTATCTATCTATCTGTCATCTATCTATGTACCTACCTATCTGCCTGTCTATCTGTCTGTTGTCTGTCTGCCTATCTCTCTGTCTATCTGTCTATCTATCTATCTATCTATCTATCTATCTATCTATCTATCTCATTTGACATAATACAACTTAACAAGTATTTTAGTGTTTCTCATATGTATATGTATTAAAGGATGACCACTGGGCTTGGATAACCTGTCACAGGTATTATTCTTAGAGAAGATTTCTTGTCTGTCTCTCAGAAACCTTTATTTGCCTGTAGCTCTCTGGGTAGGCCCTTGCAACATTTCCACCATTCACATTGGCATGTTGATTGGTTTTCACTGTGCAGGTCTTGTTTAGCAAAATATGCTGCTTCACAGATGTGGTTTCATTACATCTACAATCTTCAATTGGATCCTACAATCTTTTTGTCAGTGTCCCATTACCTTAGGTATGGGGGTTTATTGTAGATGGATCCATTCAGATTGGGCTTCACATGGTCAGGTCTCTGTGTTTTGGCCAATTGTGGATTTCTATATCTGGCAGCTGTGAAAATAAGTTTCTTTGATGAAGAGTGAGAGCTCTACTTATCTGTGGGTATAAAGATAAATATTTATAATTTAGATAGTAGGTAACAGGCTTTCCTCTAGGGTTCATGAACTCACCAGACATGGATAGTTGGCTGGATTTACCATACAAGGTATAAGTCACCTACTACCTGTTGAGCAGGCTCTGAGTCCAATTAGACAGCCTTTGGTTACCTCCCAGATAAGTGCCATTGTTGCCTGCCTAGGCAAAAACTTTCTGCTATGATGATTGTTGGGAAACCATCAGAAAACATTGGTATTGTTGGGTTTAACAATGTTGATAGAAAGGTAATTATGGAGGAATGCCTATGGTATAATTACAAATGAAGCACACACACTATTTTATTTTTATTTTTTCCTTTAGCCACAATCAGTGACAATCATTGTAGCTTTATAGTTTGTTAGGAAATTTTATTTATTGTTTATTGCATTAGGCATTGCTTCAATAAAATGCCTGAAAAAGACAATTAAAGGAGTAAAAGTTTATTCTAGCTCAAAGTTTGCAATCATAATCCATCACTGCAGAGAAGTGATGGTGTCAGGAGAGTGACAATGGCAGCTGGTGACACTGAATCCATAATCCAAATATGGAACAAGATGAATGATGCTACTTAGCTCACATTCTCTTCTCACCTATGGAATGGTGGCCCCTTCCATCATTTAATGTGGGTCTTCCCACCTGATTAAACTAGTACAGAAACTTCCTCACAGTCATTCCCAGAGAGTTGTTTCCTAAATTCCAAATCCTTTCAAGTTGAAAATCAAAGTTAACCATCACAGTTATAAATGTAGCACATAATGAGGAAAATCTCAGAATTGTGTTTCTTATCCTCCATGGAGTCCATAACTAAACTTCTGTTCCCAAAAGAAAGAATGGACAGGAAATTGGGTTTCTTAAAGGTTAAAACATTCAAAGGCCAGGTAGTAGTGTAGCATAGCTTGAATTCCAGTACTCCAGAGGCAGGTCTCTGTGAGTTTGAGAGTAACTTTTTTTTTCCCCAAAGAGAGTTCCAAGACAGGCTCCAAAGCTACAGAAAAGCCCTGTCTCAAAAAACAAACAAATGGGGAGAGCCCAGACATTTGTGGGTCATGCCATCCCTGGGCTGGTGGTCCTAGGTTCTATAAGAAAGCAGGCTGAGCAATCCATGGGGAATTAAGCCAGTAAACAGCACTTCTCTATGACCTCTGCATCAGCTCCTTCCTCCAGGTTCTTGCCTTGCTTGAGTCCTGAGCTGACATCCTTTGATGAACAGTTTTGTGGAAATATAAAGCCAAATAAACTCTTTCCTCACCAAGTTGCTTTGGTCATGATGTTTCATCATAAGAATAGAAATCCTAAGACAGTTATCTGAGAAAGCAAAACCACTTATTTAGGTATATACATGTCTAAAGACACAAATATATGTACTGGTAGACCATATGAAGTCTTCAGCATTCACTTATATTATAAAGTAAGTATTAACCTTGAACTTTCAGGAAATTTCAATAATGTGCTTTGGCTAAGAATCTCTCTGATTGGAGCGATAATGCTGTCATCAAGGACTGAGCTGCTACCATGGGCCAGATCTGCTTGTGTTCATGGCCCTACCATAGCCAGGGGCTATGTCGTTATTTGTGGCTCCTGTTACCATTGAAGGCCACATGGATGCCTGTGGTCTGAACCACAACCTAAGGTGTATTGCTATCCAGGGACCATGCTGCCATCAGGGTCCTACTGATATGAGTACCTTGTGTGCCACCCAGGACCATAGAGATGCCCAGACTGAGCTGCTGCTGAGGGCTATGCCTGGGTCCCTGGTCCTGCTGCAGCTGGAGTCTGTGTTGTTGTCTGTGCCCCATGTTATCATCAGGGGCCATGCAAACCATCCATGTTAAAGTCTTAGAGTCATGTTGAGCTGACCCTGCCCCATATGGGAGAGCTGTTTCCACCCCTTAATGGCTGATACACTGATGCACTAATACACTGGAGAGCTGAACCTGTGGCATAGATGCAGGTGAGCTGGCTTTGCCTCTTGCCTAAGACGTTCAGTTCCAGCAAAGGCCTGGACTGATCAACTCAGCTACCACCTAGGCCCACATCCAGGCCATTGAGTTGGCTCACCTCAATATCTACCCCATCCATGACGTCTGGAGGTTGTGAAGGGACTTGTTCTGCCAAACCACAGCTACAAGATCTCCATGGCTTGGGCAACATCAGGAAATCAGAGAGGTATTTCAGTGAAGGTCCAGTTTTGGTTAGGTATCAGAAGCCAGAGGCCTTGAGCCAGGCCAACAACTCATTGCAGTGAACATTTGCAAGTAAAGCTGTTTGGACAAACTGCTTTTCCAAGTGCTGTTAGGATGAATGAAGAGTTATGAAGAGGCAGGAAGTTGGAGGAGCAAAGTGGTTTTTTGTTTTGTTTTGTTTGATTGTTTCAAATGATTTTTTTTGTGGGGGAGGCATGTCAAGGGTGAAAGGAGGATATGGAGGGACTGGGAAATGAGTGGGAATTGGGTGAATGATGTAAAATTCTCAAAGAATCAAAAAATATGTAAAAAAATTAGAGAGCTTACATGTTAAAATATTCAATTTAACAAAAATTATTTTACCAAGAAAAAGATACAATCCTGTAGTAGTCCAGGCCATAGATAGTTCTGAATCAAGAGGGTCTGAAAGATCAAACATATTCTTAAATTCTCAGCACAAGCAGTAGTCTGTTTTTCTTGTGAGCATAGATAACAAATATTGTTAAATCCTAAAGATGAGAAGAAACTGTTAATTGTTGAGATTTCTTCAAATGTTATTTTTTTCATTAAAATTAAAGATTAAAAAAATCTGTATGACCTGTTGCCTCCTGGCTACAGAGGAATGACACAATCCCGACATCCATGTTTCTTTAAAATTATTTCATCAATTTCTTTCCTACGGTTTTATTTTCTTTGTGGACTAGACTTGAAACTCCAACCTCAGCTTGCTTTCTGTAGCTCTTAAGAAGTTACTTAGACATTAGTCCCCTTTGATAAAGGAATAAAATAAAGATACTCTGTTATTCAATATAGCATAAAAGATTACAAGTTCATATGAAAACAGAAGTGAAAAAGATTTCACTTGATGGCAGACAGAAACAATAGAGAATAAAGACCATTCTGAAATAATTTATAGCCATAGGTTTTAAAAACTTTGCTATCTGCTATAAAACACTTGAAATACAAGCAATGTCCGGTAAAGAGTTTTCTTCTTGGGATGTTGAATAAAAAAATAACAAATGTTGCTACTTTATCCCACTTCATTTTCAGTCTATTGACCCCAATTAGCCAGGAAAATAACAGTGAGTGACCAGGTAAGAACTTACTTTATAACCTTTGATTCTCCCTATTTGCACTCTAACTTCCTTTGGGTTAATTCACTTCAGGTCAACCAGTGTTTTCTCTTTCATTTTACATTTGTAAATTTCAATTAACCACCTTTATAGATTTAGAGGCTCATTAGAAACACATGCTAATTGGAAAAATCTGTTCCTGAAAGGAAAGACCAAGATTTTTCTTTGCACACACCATGACCAAGACCAAGACATGTTGCAAAAAGTAGTCTCAATAAATATTTTAATTGTATGTTTATTAATATATGTATAGTTAAGTGAAAATAATTTCAAAGACACAAAAATGAAATGTTATTTTGGAGTATAAACTGAGCAACTTCTTTATTCATGAGGATGATAAGTGTTTGATATATTCATTGCACAGATATTTAATAAGCAGATTCCTATTGCAGGAATATTTTAAGTACCAGAGGCACATTGGGGTGTTAGATATAATAAATATAATAGTACACCAAGCAGATATGGTTTCTGGCCTCATGGAATATATAGTTTTTTTTTCTCCCAAGATTTAAATATAAGGCAACACTGAAGAAAGTTCTGTTCTTACATCCATCCCGTCATGTTATGTTGACAACCCAAATGCATTAATGTCTTTGCCTTTCATCTTTCTCTTCTCTATTCTCCACATTGCTACATTAATATGTGTGTAAGAGATAAAATTACTCTGCATTCCTGAGACTATTCATATTACTCTATTGTAGAGATTTGTATGGATGGTATGATAGGGTTGTGTGGCACTGTAAATTGTGTCTTGACACTCTTCTCCTCACCCCGACAGCATTTGTAGGGAAGAGCATCTTTCTTTCTGATATAAAGTACAATCATTTCAGGCAGGTTGCTTCGATTTTATTCTCTGTAATGATCCTTTCAGACAGAAGGAAAAATGAGCAATTAGTAATATTACTTATAGCTCCCCTTATCTAAATTCTGTGAATTGCCCTCTTCAAAGACCAATGCTCACAAATAATAAATAGCATAATGTACCAGAAGTTCTTTAGTTATAAAATAGGAATATAGTCCATAGGAATTATGTGGATATTCTGTCTAATATTCACTTCATATAAATCTACCATGTATCTGGACTATGTCACATACACATTGAATAATTACATTTTGTGAAATGTTTATATATGAGAGAGAGGGGGCATGAGGGTCATAAGAGCAAGAAAGAGGATATTAGTTAGTGAAAACAGTGATTCAACTTCTAGTCCTACCTGGCTGAACAGTGATTCAACTTCTAGTCCTACCTGGCTGAATTAGAAAAAAAAAAAAAAGGTATTTTATTCTATACTTCTCTTCAGTTTCATCTTTAAATTTTTTTTCAAGACAGGGTTTCTCTGATAGGTTTGTTGACCAGCCTGGCTCCAAACTCATAGATATCCAACTGCCTTTGCCTCCCCAGTGCTGGGATTAAAGGCATGCACCACCACCACCTGGCAACAGTTTCAAATTTTTAAACCACAGCAATGTAAAGAATTGAACATTACTGTGCCTCCAGACAGGTCTGCCTTTGGAGTCTTTGTGGGTTTAACAACTCCATCTCTTTACATAGGGGATATTTGTTGTATGTTATTCAAGTGCCAGAATCTGGAATGTTCCTCTGTGTAAAAAACACACCAGTGAAGAATAACCTTATTTATGTTAATGAGGATTAAAATTAAGATGCAAATAATCTGGGTAAGAATCATTGTGTCACAAACACTTTTTATTGGATTATACTGTCCAATCATGTTTTCTTTTGTAATATGAAATATTGATCAGCCTAAGTGGGAAATACAGCATTTGTTAAATGTATGTTTTCTTCCAGTTATGTATTATCTGTATACTCAGAAAAGACCTGAAAGAATCTGTATTTGTTCTTTCCTGCTACATATAAGATTGGTAAGATTCTCTGAAGGTTGAAAGTCAGTGCTTGTTTGATTTGTAAAGAATATGTTTATGATAGTCACTCCCAGTTTGATTATTCATCTTTGTTGTCGGATTCACTGGATTTGGACTCACCTACGAGACACACCTCTAGGAGTGTCTGCACTGCTGTTTCCATAAGGGTTTAACCAGAAATGAGGACCCATCTTAGCACCATTCCATGGGTTTGGGCCTTGGACTGGATACAAAGGGAAAAGAAAGCAAGCTGAACACCAACATTTATTTTTCTCTGTTTTCTGAAAGTGGACTTAGTGTGACCAGCGGCCTCACTCTCCTGCCAGCACAGCTAGGGCCACTCACACTGCCACACCTTTCCAGTCATGGGGAACTGGATCCTCAGATGGTAAACCAAACTGTCTGAAGTTGTCTTTGTCATTCATTTTGCCAAAGGGATAATAAAGACTTTTTATTTGGGGTATCGAGATCTAAGTTCTCCAGACCAGACTCTGGAGTGGATGAGAGAAAGAGAGGGGATGGTAAAGAGAACTGATGGTAAAGAATCCAAATTAGTCGACTTCCCCATCATCCAGAGAAGCAGCAATTTCAGTATGAGAAAACCAAGAATTAATGAACTCATAAATTATCTAAGTTAGCATAACAACTGAGTTGGAGATATCACCACAGCCTGCCTGCAGCTAAACTCCCTTGTATTTTTACACACCAGGTTGTTGCTTGGAAAGATATCATAACATCAAGATTCAGGCAATAAGCTGATGCCTAAACTATATATTTTTTTCTTCCCAATATTGGACCCTCGGTCAATTCTAGAGTTTCAAGCATGTATTCCTATTGCTTTTGTGGAATATTTACCAGCCAAAGTTTTGTTTTCTCTTCTGTTGCTTCTTTGGATCACTCAAAGTGACACCATACAGAGCATCAAAACCCCACTGTCTAAATTAATCTTCCAGGTTAAGGAGAGTTAAGTTCCTGGAAACTATAGAGAGAACACTCTGCTACACTTAAGATCTGAGATCTTTAGCAACCAGGTACATTAAAAAACAATTTCTTTTTTTTTTTTTGAGGAACTTTTCCTTTGTATTCCTCTATAGTCTAGATGGTTACCAAACAGGAGCTTGACAGGGCAAAGTGAATAGTCAATATTGGCATGGTTCATGCATTGTTTGCCAAACTTTGTACCAAATTTTTTGTTTTGTGTGATGTGATTGCTAGCTAAAGAAATTGGCTGTGGCTTCTACATGGAAAAAGAAAATGTGTGTGTGTGTGTGTGTGTGTGTGTGTGTGTGTGTGTGTGTGTGTTGGGGTTCTGGTGGCTTGGGGATGGGAGGCTCATGGATCTGAAATGAAGCTGGAAAGTCAGGCTCAGAAACACTCAGGAATCAGTGCTTCTAAAACAATGAGCAGAAAGTTCACCATGCAAGTCATTTGCAAGAATAATCTTTTCAGTATCACTATAGCACCCCTCCTCTACTGAAAAAAGAATTCAACCACCCTGCACCCTTCCTTTTAAGATTCAAGGGCCCAAGGAACATGTAATTGATCAGACATATGATGAAATTGACTGTATCTTTGTGAATAAGTTCAGTGGAAAATATAAAAAAAAATGAATTCAAAATGTCAACAATGGGTTTCTGGATAGATTTTTAAAAATCTGTTTGCCCCTTCTGCCACTGATCCCCTCCTTTTTTCCCCACCCCCTCACTGCTTTCCTACTCCCTGTCTCTCCTCTACTCCCTTTTCTCTTCTTTCCCCTACTCCTGCCTCTCTCTTCCTTCTCCCAACCTGCTTTCTGGAAGTGAGGGGATTTACATATGCTATGGAAGTACTCTTAAATATGTTCTCTGAAGATAGTTTCATCAGACATATAGACATACACAGTCTGAAGACACTGTTTGAATTTTGTTGTTTAAAATAGCATTGTGCCTTTTCTTATATGGTAGAAGTTCTATTCCTTAAGGTTATATACATAATTTTCCTATTGAATTAATTCTTAACTTTTAGTTTACTTGCAACAAAATGTGGTGAATATGCCTGAAGAAATATAAAGCTAGTTTTTCTTTCCACTACTTTTGTTCCAAATCCCTTTTGCTTTGTTTTGAAAGCCCGTGAAGCAAGTCAAGTTGGCTCAGATCTGCACACAGGTAATTCTGATTAGATAAATGCAATGTGACTCATGATGACTGATGGCTGCTTTGCTTAAGTGGAACAGTGACATCTAGTGCCTGAAGAAATGTGTCCTTGGATATGAAAGGTCCTTTGTCTTTAGTATGATAAATGAGGGGTGGGCCACTTACATTTGCAAAGAAGGTCTCACTGTGACTCATCTCTATCCTCATGACTGGGACATTAGACCATGCATTCCTTTCTAGCCTTTCACATAACTCTGGAATGATTCTATCAATCTTTGGTCTTTCTATCTATCTACACTTCTCGGGAAGTCTGTATATTGATGTCAGTTCTCTATTGTATTACTCCCCCAAAGTGTACACTTGATTTTTGGTGGACATACATTTCTTACTCTCAAAAACAAAATTAGAGGGCTTGGGGAGATGTTTCAGTCTATTCGGCACTATAAAGTGTTTGTTGGTCGAGCATGAGGACCTTATTTGAATCTGTAGCATAAAACTAGGTGTGAGATACATGCTTGTCTTTTCAGTAATGTGGTGGTTGAGGTGGGTGAGTCTCTGGGGCTTGCTGGACATCCAATCTAGTTAGACCTAGGTTTTTGTGAGATGTTCCTGTTTCAAAAGATAAGTTAAAAGTGATTGAAGAAGCAGGGTGCTGGTGGCACACACCTTTAATCCCAGCACTCGGGAGGCAGACGCAGGCAGATCTCTGTGAATTCAAGGTCAGCGTGTTCTCCAGAGGAGTGCCAGGATAGGCTCTAAAGCTACACAGAGAAACCCTATCTCGAAAAACAAAAACAAAAAAAAGTGACTGAAGAGGACTCTGGACATTTGATTTCTGCCTCCCCTCCTATATAATCAAAACTATGTGCCCTCTGAACCACAGTCATTTCCTTGTCTGCTGCATTGTTCCCCCCGATATTCCATTCATTTCTCCTGGTCTATGTGGTACTATGTATATATTATGCTCAGTACTGCTTAGTAGAATACTGGGTACAGTTGTACTGAGTGATGTGTGCTTTGTGCTCTGTTACGATAAATCTTTCCGCCATAAGCTGCCGGGCCCCATCGCCACATGTGTGCTTTATGCCAGCCGCCTGCTGAGTTAGGGCCCAAATGAATACACAGAAACTTGTATTAGCTACAATGCTGCTTGGCCCATGACTAGGGGTCTCATCTGTTAGCTCAGTCTTAACTATCATAAACCTATATATTTTATAAGACTTATCTTATCGGATGCCTTATTGGCGTCCTTCCTTGCCGGTGGATCGCATTGTGCCGCTGCAGCAGGAGTAGAGGGGAAAAGAGGGACGCTTCCTGTTTCTCCTTTGCTTAAATGAGTCTCCTTGCTATGTCACTTCCTGCCTGGATCACCACTTCTCTACTACATTTCCCAGAATCCTCTTTGACTCCCAGTCCTGTCTAACTTGCTGTCTCATTGGCCAAACAGTATTTTATTTAACAATCAATAAGATAAACATACACAGTATATTCCCCATCAGTGCTCCTGGTATCCCCTGTACTGAAACAAAAGGAAAATTAAGTGGTAAACATAAGCAATTTGAAGGTGAATTACCTATGTTTCAGTAATGATTATAATACTTATTTTCTCCCAAAATATTTTGTGCTTTAGATGTTAAAAATATGGTACATAAAAAAGAGAGTGGATTTTACAGATTTAATTCTAAGACTTAAAATAAATTAATGTGATGTACAATAAGAAACCCTGGGTGATATTAAAGCATGAAGGCTTCTTATGCTACACTTCTTATTGCAATTAGAATTGTAAAATATAAATTTTTGAAGTTGATGTAGCAAATTTAACCAGGATTTACATAATATGCCAATTCTAGCATAAGTACATGATCAGCAAAGTTGGTGTGGCATACTGGGAGATAAGAGGAATCTCACACACTGATGCCAAGATGAATCAAGTTTCATGAAGGATGAAGCAAGTTTCCTTGGACCAGAAATGGCTGAGTAAGCAACTCAATCTGTTCATTGGTTAGTTGTTTGGTTCCTGTCCAGAGAACTCAACAGCAACTGTGTCAGAGCAAATGCTGTGTTTGGGGCCAGGTGCCTTAACTTTCTTATGGAAAGCGATATAACTAAAACATGTGTGGAAAGTGCAACAAATTATTTGATTAACTTTACTCATCCTTCTACACTCACTTTATCCTCTTGAATCAAATCAAAGACATACTGAACCATAATTATTTCTGGTTGAAATTACTGATTGGAACATAAGATCTGTTCTTAAGATTCTCTAGGGTAGTCTTTGTGATATGGTTGTGGGGCAGGGGTTCTGATTTACTGTCCTCTCTGATTTCTTTGCTTTGCCTTACTTGATGTAGATATCATTTTTAATCTCAATGAAATCAGAAAGTTTAAATTCAGTGAAAAAAAGCTCATGAGACCTCACTCTCCAAAAGTGGGTATCATCAGGTACAAATCTCCTTGAAGACACCGACTACTAAAGAGAACCAAGATCTCTCATGTTGGCTTCAGGTTACATGAAGGGAGGCAGTTAGACAGCAGAAGAGTTAGGTCAGGTAATAAGGACTTATTTCTTCTCTCTTCCTATTTCCATGTCTTTTTCTTTCTCAAATATCTTAGGAGAAATAACTTAAACCATACAAGTATATTTCTATTTAATGAAAATTTATGAAACAGTAATTATTAGTACACACTCTACTTGCTACTAAGCTACAATTAAATGAAAAAAAAAAGATGTTCACTGTCTTAGTGTTCTATTGCTGTGAACAGACACTGTGACCATGGCAACGCTTATGAAGAAAAACATTTAATAGGGGATGGCTTACAGTTTCAGAGGTTTAGTCCCTTATCAGCATGGTGGGATGCATGCTGACATGCAGGCAGACATGGGGCTGGAAGAGTTGTGAGTTCTACATCCAGATCCTCAGGCAGCATGAAGAAAGAGATCCTAGGCCTGGCTTGAAATCCCAAATCCCACCCCCAAGGACACATTTCCTCCAACAAGTAGCACCATTCCCTGATGAGGAAGCATTCAGATATATGAGTTTATGGTGCCATTATTATTCTAATCACTTCATTAGCTTTTAGAACAGTATTCATACTTGAGCCATAGTATCTTCATGTATGTGTTTATGTATGTACACATATGTACTTAACAGAAAAATATATAGAAAATTTGTTGATAAGCCTGGCGTTGGTGGCACACGCCTTTAATCCCAGCACTCAGGAGGCAGAGGCAGGCTGATATATGTGAGTTCCAAGCCATCTTGGTCTACAGAGCGAGTGCCAGGATAGGCTCCAAAGCTACACAGAGAAACCCTGTATCAAAAAACCAAAAAAGAAAAAAAAGAAAATTTGTTGATATTTCTTCTCACCTACAGAGTAGTTTAAAGTTAGTCACAAGCAAATGCTTATGAATACAAATAGGAAAAATGGCTGTCACCAGGAGTTACTGAAAATCTTTTCTTCAGATATTTCAAACATGTGACACATGGGACTATGTGAGTTCAAGTTTTACCTTTCGATTGGGACAAGTTGGAAGAGGAAAGCGCATAGAGTTGAAAGGGGAAGTTAGTTGTGAAGAGGCTATATAAATAAGAAAACAATTAGCTATCAGAATGGGTATTGCTGTTTTATGTAGTTTAACACAATACTTTTCTCCTCAAGGGAACAATGTACTTATATGTAATAGCATTTTTAGTCATATAAACACACATTTATATGTACATATGCATGTATGTTTTGTGCATCTATAATCAAATATGCTGGCCCTGTTGTAAAAAATGACAATAGAAAAGGTATTTGGTTACATTCCAAAAGTTGTACATTTAGTAAGAAGTCCCAATATTAGAATTTCAACAGCCAAATTCTAGAGTTTCATCTAATCTATAGAGGCTAGACTACTTTCCAACACATGAATTTTTGTATGAAGTTGCATTATATTATGAACAATGAGTGAGCATGATTAATATGTTACAAAATATATGTATACCTACACCCTACCCAGTATCTTGTCCTATTTTCTTCTGTCACACTGTATCACATTCCTATTGAGCTATAGGTGCAACCTTGAAAAGAAATTATTTCTGTAGTCCAATCCAGATTACATCCTGCTGTTTCTAACGGAATAAAAGATTTCTTTTTAAGGTTTCTCATATGTATGAATGTTTTGCCTGCATGTATGTACATGTACCACATGAAAGCCTGGTGCCCAAAGAGACCAGAAAACAGCATTGGATCCCCTGGAAGCAGAATATTGTTAGCTTCCATGTGGGTGCTAGGAACCAAACCTGGATCCTCTGCAAGAACAATGTATGCTGTTAACCATTGAGCTATATCTTCAGCCCCAAGTTTAACTTTTTAAAGCATTGCTATAGTTATTTCATTTCATCCCCATGCTAACAGGTCCCTGTTTTTTTCCATTTCCTACTCTCTGAAGGATAATATCCTGAAGGTGACAAGATTCCCATAGTTGGGTTCCAAATCCCACTCTCCCTTATTTTTAATGGTTGTCCAGGTTATAGTGCTCTGTTTTTATCTTAGAGAACAGATAGTGTGTCAAATTCAGAGTTTAGGTATGTGTAGATTCTGTGCTTATTTTAAAGACAAATTTGCAACGTTTTAGAATATCCCATAGAAACATCCTGATGCCAGTTTTCCTTGGTTGGCTGTCCCCAGACCCAGGTACCCAGGCCCAGGCTGGTGACGACTACTACTTCCTCTTTTGTTCTTGTAGATGCAGCAACTTCTTCCTTTGAACCCTTGATTATTTAGTAGTTGCTCTACTACACTTGGAATTTTTCATTTACCCTAATGGAAGATAGCAATCTATTTTCAAAATTATAAAACATTTTATATTACTATAATTTTACTTTATTGCTACAAATAGAATTTTGTTAAAAAATGCCTCTCTGGTGCTTGGCAGACTCCATTTATAATGACAATTAGAGACTGCTCAGTCTCTCATTCCATGCCCCTTGTCCACCAAAAACAATAGAACATCAGCTTTAGTGACTCTCACACTCTTTGCAATGCAATGTTACTGACTGTGGACTTCAGAACAAGAGATACATTATTCTAGTCAGCGTTTCTCTGTTATGATAAGTCTTTCCGCCAAAAGCCACTGAGCCCCACCACCACGTGTGCCAGCCGCCTGTCCGAGTTAGGCCCAAATGAATACACAGAAACTTGTATTAGGTTCAAAGCTGCTTGGCCAATGACTAGGATTCTCATCTGTTAGCTCAGTCTTAATTATCATAAATCTATATATTTTATAAGACTTATCTTATCGGATGCCTTATTGTCATCCCTTCTTTTTGGTGGATCACATCCTGCAGCTGGAACAGGAGCGGAGGGGAAAAGAGGGCCCTTCCTGGTTCTCCTTCACTTAAATATGAGTCTCCTTGCTATGTCACTTCCTGCCTGGATCAGCACTTCTCTACTACATTTCCCAGAATCCTCTTTGACTCCTAGTCCTGCCTAACTTGCCGTTTTATTGGCCAAACAGTATTTTAATTAACAACCAATAAGATAAACATACACAGTACATTCCCCATCATTTCTCTTTCTCTTAGCTTTGAAAAACAGGGTTTATCCAGCATTCGCTACCCACATGATGGATGGCTTTGTTCCCACCATGGCCAAATGTGATAATTGAATGAAGGCTTTTATGAGGATAATTAGAGAAGACTAAATGAGAACAACCTGTATTTCGAGGGAAAGTTCCCTATAAGACTTATGTTATATTGCACATTTGAGATTGCCAGTACCCAGTATACTATTTGGCAAATACCCAAGATCATGATAATCTGTTAAAAGACATAAGCTAATATGGTAGAATGTAGTGGTTCCTTGGTAAAAGTAGATTTATGATCTTGGGAAGACCATGACCTCTTTTTATTTGGCTCAATTCAAAGACATTAAAAGGAAATACTCACTGTGATATTTGAAGTAGATCCAAAACAGGAAGTTATTTCTTTAAGTAGTGCAATATAACAAGGGATTGCTATCCTGCCCTTTGTGTCCAGCCTTCAAACTGAAATTTGTTTCATGGGGATTTGGGAAAAGAGGAATGAGGCTTGTAGACATAGACAGACTCAGGCGAGAGATTACAGGAAGCAGATTAAAAAATACACAGACATTGTGTACTTGTTCCTC